AGGATAAAGAGGGATAATCCCCCTCGATCCCAAATCATTGAGGCCAATTTCTAGCCATAGAATAATGGCGCGGCGCGGTCGAGGTAGACGACGGATGGGGCCCACCTACGAAGGCTCTCCAGGCCTACAAGAGATGAGGCAGGATAAAGAGGGATAATCCCCCTCGATCCCAAATCATTGAGACCAATTTCTAGCCATGGAATAATGGCGCGAGTGGCTCAACAATGAGTTGGCTAAATATGATTTCTGAAAATTAATATATATTTGAGAATAACACAATTCATAAGAAAACTTTAACGTGAAGGACATATCAGTTGGAAAAACAAATAAGGAAAACTCACATAGCTGACGTGGCAACATAGCTGCGGTTCTCGTTTATCGTTCGAAAAATAAACAAAATGGCTACCACGTAAAAAATTACAAAATTTGAAGTCTTGTCAAAATTTAACTCATCAAAATATTCATTTCTAAATTAATATGAAAACATAAAATTTGCACATAAGAGACAAAATGTAAGTTGATATAATTGGTACTTAAGTTGGTTAAATAGTTTATAAATAAGGAAATATGTTACTTTATTTGGAAAAACTATTACAATTTAAATTTTAGTTCTAGTGTTATATGCAAAACAATAAGTCACAGTCACAATGGAAGCAAATACACAAACTGAAGAAGTATCTATTTCAAACATAAGTGAATCCAATGAATCTTTGGATACCTCTGAACCCTTAAAACTGAAGGATTCTCATGCAGAATTAATTCGGTAAGTGTTTCCATTACTTTAAAAATAATACAATTTTACTTAATCTTGTAGTTCTATTTTCAAACCAAAAACCTCTACCTGGGCTTTATTTAAGTGGGACGATGACGATGCGAATGATTTTTCTGAATCTAAAACCTCCCCTGTTACCTCAATTGATTCCCTTGAAGCCATTATTGCTCCTGAAAGGTTTCCCTAATTTTTACTTTTAATATACCTATAGGTGTTTATAGCATATTCCCCAAAAGTAACTATGCAACTATTTTTTTCATGATATGGATCGAATCTTGCCAACAATTTTGGAAATGCTCTTGAAGGTGAAAATTGTATATATCTTAAACTCAGAGTTACTTTTATAAATATTTTGATTAGATACAGCTATTTTATATAAATTTGTATTAAAATTGATAACTATTCACATATATTCTAAAATCCACATTAATGTTTTACAATATATTTAAATGAAATACAAACATTAATTATTCTATTTAATTTATAACAATATAGTTTTAAGAATAAAATGGTTCTAAAATAACTCGTTGAAATGCATCTTTATAAAACTGCTTTTATTCCCATAAAGAATATTTCTAAATTGCAAACATTTATATATGTAGGTATAGTGAATTTTCAATAGTTATGGTGACATTTAATGCAATGCAATAAATTTAGAAAGGTATTGACAAAATATATATAGTCTGTTACTGTCTATTTTTTCATATAGATTCCTTATAGGTATCATTAATATATTTAAATTTCTTTGCCACTAATATCAATCATTCAAAGTTAATGTGTTTAGCATGACATCTGTTTCACTGGTTGTGTTTTGATGTCATGTATATAAATGTTTTCGTGCACAGTTTTCTATGTGTAATAGTTATTTTTGTCAAATAATAACAGCATTTGATGGCCATATGGTTGCAAATTGTTCCAAAAATAAATTTACACTTCACTTAATCATAGTATGTACATAGGTACCTATATAAATATCAGAGTTAAATTATATTTTAAAAATAATTTGTGTTAATATCTATTCCAATCGATTATTTTTTAACAAATTTTTCGTATATTGAAGTGATTTTATAAGTTTAAAGTACGGGTGAACTACTTAAAATTTTTCTTTTTGCATAATTTATTAAATTACATCTTATTAACATTGCATGTGAGTGAGTAAGCCTTGGGGTGTAGTTTGTGTTCTTAATAGTAAAATGTAAATTTTATCATGTGATGCCAGAAAATCAATACCATGTTAAATATATTATTTCACAAACTGGCTCACTTTCTTTGGATCAATATTCTTTGTCAGTTAAAATTATTACATATTCTTCATATATTAATTAATTTGGAACCTATCTTAAAATAAACAAAAATCGAGATAAAAACATGTAAAAGATATTTGAAACATGTTTTTATAAGAAAATCGTAAACATTTTCAGTTTTTCTAGTACATGTAACTTATTGAAGTACAAATCTACTAACTAAACTTATGCTAGAAAATTCTGCATAAAAAGTGAGCTCTTTTCAAGCCCCTTTCTATCCTATTGCAGAAGTAACTTTTTTTTATAAATATGAGCAATAAACAAAAAAATTTAAAACGCATTTATTGTATGTTTTCAAGTTCATGAATTATTCTGGAAACTAAAATTGATAAAGAAATTAGAAAAATTTGTTACTTGCTTATTAAAAAAATTCAAGAAAACATGTTTTAATTAAGTACCTATATAGATATAGTTAAACACTTTATGCTTTCTTTTTACTTCAAAAATAAATGTTCTCATCCATTAAAAAAATAAACTTATTTTTTAAATTACATATTTTAAACTTCGGTTTTAATGACCCCATTTTATTACACAGTTTTCTAGTTATACCATTTTATAATGAAAAAACCTAAAAAGTCTTTATGAATGCATTATTTATTACAAACTTAAAAATATTATACTTTGAATTGCCTCTAATATACTAAATATATTTTCTATCAAATCATTTTTCTCTTTATTGTTAGTGGTTGTCGGTGAGAAGCAGACAAATGAAATAGTTTTGCATTGTTGTATTTCTCATGGAAATTTGTAGTGACACTGTTGGTACCAAAAATAAAAAGAAAATTAGGTATATAAAGATACTATAATGATGATTTTTTTTTATCTTAATTGCTTTTTTTCTACAATGCTTTTATTAATTGGTGTTAGTAAACATGGAAACTTTCAATTGTTTTTAAATGGATACAGATAAGTACAGACCATTGTTTTTATAATAGATGATGAAATAATTGACTATTATTATTTTATTGTTTCCTCTTTACATAAATGAAATCCTTGATGAATATTTATTTATGATATGATTAAACATTAATTTATATTTATAAACTGTAGGTATTCATTTAAAAACTTCTCACTGCTATGTTTCAAAGAAAATCATTTTATTCTTTCACAAATAAAAAAGAATTGCCACAAGTGAATTTATGTAAGGGGTAATTTTAAAAAAATGTTTTATGGTTGAACCCCTCTCCTCATTTTCATTATCATCTTCAAAAATATTGAAAAATAATATTAATATAGATATAATTAATAGATTAATAGATGATAGATGATAACACTTGTTACGTTAGGTAAAATGTTATTAAAAAAATTATTTGAAAGCTACTAAAACGTTTATTAAACAACAGAAACTAAACAAAGTTGTATTTGGAAATACGTCTTTTGATAAATATATGAAAAATATACAATTTGTCCCACTTTTCATGGAGCCACCCTGATATCTCGCTCACCTGATATTCGAATATTTTGAAACTACTTTGGTAGTGAATAGAATATATACCTATAAAGTGAGCCTTTAAACATATTTGATTGTAGTCAGAAGCGTCTGAATCTGAAATGAAAGAGGGGGGTCGATTTTGAAAAAAAAGTATTAGCAATTTTTTTTTTAGAAGCTTGTCTTAATCAGCACCTTTAGAAACCCTTTGTACCAGATTATATAGTTGTGGGTTCAAAGGTGTTTAAGATATAGGCCATTGAAAAACAATTTTTTTCAACTTAAAATAATTTGTATCAGTAAAACGGCCTCTCAAAAGAAAAAAATGTATTCTTTATTTCTTGTTCAGAATAACGTATTGTACTAGTATGAAATGATTCTACAACAAAATAATCATTTTTTTAATAAGGCAAAAATTTTAATTTTCGCAATATACAAATTAGAATTTTTGCTTTATTACAAAAATTATTATTTTGTTGTAGACTCATTTCATACCAATACAGTACATTATTCTGAATAAAAAATAAATATTTTTTTTTTGAAACACCTTTGAACCCATAACGATGTAATCTTGTACAAAGGTTTCTAAACGTGCTGATTAAGCATATCTTTCTAGTTTTTTTCTAAAAAATCACTAATACTTTTTTTGACCCCTTTTTTTCCATGTCGAAATCGGTCGCCTCTGACTGTAACCAAATATGGTTACATCTAAATACTCACTTTATAAGTTTATATTCACCATCAAAGTTTCAAAATATTCCGATATCAGGTGAGCGAAATATCAGGGTGGCTCCATGAAAAGTGGAACACAATTGTATATAATAGTTTGTTTTTTTGAGAACATTAGACAAGTCATTTATAGAAATTTTTTTTGAGTTCCTTTCCACTAGTTCATTTTTGTTTTGCTTGAAGTGCTTTGTTCCAAAGTTCTTCGAATATATGTATTTTATTATTTAACAAACCACCATGGACTTACGTTAATATGTTTTTTTTTCTATTTTTGGAAAGAGAATCTATCAATACAATTTTGTCCTTAAATAAGTAGTGTTTATTTTATCTAATTTTATTTTTTGTTATTTTTGTTTTGCATATCGTTCTTATATTTAGATTTCTATTATTTAGAATTTAGAAAATATTCTAGATCTTTTTATATTTGTTTACATTTTGTATACACCTTTATTATTTATTTTACGGTTTATGTTTATGTTTATTTTATCCTGTAATTGGTACTTTGTTCTATTAAATACTGTATACTAAAGAAATAATAAACAAAAATGGTATTTCTCTCTTTCTAATAATTAGACTATCAAATTCATAAGGGTCCATTCAAACAAATTAAAAAATAAATTAATTGAAAAGAATGATGCAAAATTAATAATACAAATTAAGACTATATATAATTAACAGCATGTGATACTCTTGGGGAAATTTATTTATTTATTTTTTTTAAAGAATTATTAAAGTTTAAATTTATAACTTACCTAAATTGACGATGTATTTTCTCAGCAATCAGATCATCACACAGGAACCTTGCCTCATAAATGACAGTTGGTTGCTTGGAGGGCCCTTGGGGTCACGTAATGCCACTTTGGTATTCAGAAGTTCCGCCCTTGCTAACGCTAATGAACTCTCCATCCATGAAAAACCAGGTTACAAACTCCACATCACATACAAAGTATTACAAGCTGAAACTAAACTTTTATCTAAGCTACTTGACTGCCATGGTATCTCAGAAGTTGCACCAAATTCATCCGATTTTAATTTACTATGGACTGGATCTCATCCCAAACCTGGTTAAGTATATATTTATTACTAAAAACAAAAACCGTTGTTTTTATCCTTAAAGGATCATGATGTTTCTGTTACTTCTTGTGCGCGTTTCACAAAGGGACCGTTAATATTTGTAAATAAAGCTAAAAATTTGTTCTGCTTTATTTTTGAGAGCAATGAGTATAAAACGGCAAAATTATGTTAAAAATTAGAAACTTTTTTCGAAAGTAAATAATAAGGCAGTTTTGTAAAATTTTATATCATCGATAACATATAATGAGTTGGAGAATAAGTAATGTCAGTTTTTTTCAAATTTAAAAATTCTCGTCAAAATCAAAATTAAACGCATTGTCAAATTGACACATGTCTATCGGATTGTGCTTTTTGGTTGTTTCATTATATTTAACTTTTGTGAATTTTCATTCATTTAAAATGGATGGTTTACACGTTTTAAAGAAGGTGATTTCAACCTTAAAAACATGAATCGTTCAAGAAGCCCTGTTGAATTTGATGCAGAGCAATTTAATCGACTCCTTCACTGAAATGCTAGACAATTAACAAGGGAATTGGCTCAGGAGATGGGTAATTGGGTCCCACATATTTTGAATGAAAACAATAAGAATCAACACTCTGCAATTGTCACTGGTTTGCTCTGTCGTTGTTGATCAACACATGGTCGTAAGGAACATTTTCTTCATCGTATTGTCACTGGTAATGAAAAATGGTGTCTGTGCGTGAATTTGAAACAGCAGAAAGAATGGTTAAGCCCCAAAAAACAAGCAACTCCGCGAACGAGACCAGAACTACATCCTTAAAAGACAATGTTATACGTCTAGTGGGATTGGAAAGGGGTTCTTTCCTACAAACCCTTACCAAACAATCAAACCGTCAACGCAGAACTCTACTTCCAACAACTACAGTGACTCCACACGGCTATTCAATAAAAAAGACCTGATCGGCAATACGATATTCTTTTGCAACATGATAATGCACGGCCACATATCACTAATATGACCAAAACGGCCATTCGGGATAAATAAAGATGGCGCATACATTGCTGATTAGCCTATTGGTAATTGTAGAGTTAAAAATATCTTAAATTAAAAAAAAATTTACATTACTCATTCCATAACTTTGTCACACATTTAGACAATTTTCATAAAACAAGTTAAGGTTAAGGTATTAAGTTAATTTTAGGTGTATTATCACTTCAAAAATTTTTTGGTGAAAAGAAATATGGGTACAGTCGGCACCACGCAAATGTGAATGGCAATATTGTACCGTGTAATTTAAACTTCAAATCATAGTCGTAAAATTCAATAGTTGTCAAATATACATATATGTCACTTAGAGCAAACGTAATTAAATGTAAACAAGTAACGTGAAATATGCCGGAGCATTTAACTGAAGCGCATAGAGCAAAGGCTATAGCTAAATTAGAAGATAATTGGTCTTTGAGTGAAGTGGCTGCTGATTTAAATGTCAGTAAGAGTTGTATATTTTATATTAGACAACGTTGGCGAGAACAATAATTACAAAGATATATCAGGCAAGGTGTCGGGAAGGTTTCCAGTGACGCGGAAGGCAATGCCTTGGTCGAATTTATCCATAAGAATACTCTCTCTGTGTTCTAGCCACTAAAAAAAGTCTGATTTACTACGATAAAATCCAGATGAAATTTCCATAACTACCAAAATGCGTTCACATTTGGGTGGCGTCAACTGTACATTATTTTGTGCAAATTTTATTATTTTTTTAAAATATTGATACGACTAAAGTTCTTGTTTGAAATGTTTTTTGAATGTATATGCAACTGATGTTGAAAATTTTATTATTACAGTAGAAGTGCACTCTTGTATATTTACATTTTTTAAAAAGAGATCAATATATTTAAAGAATTTAAAAAAATAAAAGGTAACACTGAAGAAGTTGTGGATGAAACAGTAACAATCACCTTCTAAAACTGATGAGGTATTTGAATAATAAATTCATACATGAGTGCCCCAATAGTCTAAGTTTAAGTTTAAAATGTGAATGTAACTCCAACGATTTTTAAGATATAGCAGAAAATATTCTATTTATCATCCCTCTTTAAATGTGTGTATCTTATTATTATACAGGGTGATTTCACTTTAAATACAGAAACTGCAGGAATAGATTAGTTGCCAAATAATAAGTAGGGTTAGCTCTATAAAGTTTTTTCCGGGGGAAGTGGTATTCGAGACACAGGGTGTTCAAGTTTCCAAAAAAAAATTACAGTATAGACTCTTTAATCCGAACTCACCTTAATCCGAATATGTATTAATCCGACCCGACGACCCAAAGAATGCCCGTTTTGATGGTCCGAACAAAACTCTTTAATTCGAACAAAATTTGGTTTAACGTATACATGGTGATTCAGTCATAATGTCACGAACAATTGTCAGCTAAAGGAACAGCGTTGCCAAGTTCACATCATAATGTGTGGTTCACATTTACTGTTAAACGTATTCAAGTAAATAAAGGAGCTTGCTGCATTTTATTATAAATAATTTTAACAATTGTATTAACTTAGTGTAGAATGTTTTAACGAGCCTGACTTCTCGAAGTAAACTTTTCGTTAAAAGAACATACATAAAGCAGAGGTAGTTGCCTGTTTGTAGGCACACCGTATTTTATCAAATAAAAAAGTCGGCACACTACTAAATACCCAAATATACAAAATACACTACACACGGTTACAAAACCATTAACAATTTAAAGCGTTTATTCAAATCTACCACCCTCCATATCTCCCGCATTTTTCCCGCAAAGGAGTTAACATAACACATTTTCAAAAAGTTCAAGCTTTAGAAGCAGCTGATTTCCCCAATCGTCTTGAATTTTGCAATTGGTTCCTAAGT